CACACACACACACACACACACACACATACACATACACAGACACATACACACACATACACATACGCCACACACACATATATACAGTCCGAATCAGTTCATCGGTTAAATCAACAACAGTATGGATGGACAACCACTGCAACAACAACAACTACTACTGATGGATGAGTAAGGGTGATTGTATCCGATCGTCCATGATAGGATAGGATAGGATAGGATAGGAAAAGAAGGGAGGAGATGGTTGGATGGAATGGAATAGAATCGTCGTCCATCATGATGGATTACAATTTCAACGATTCGACAATGACATTTTGCATAGGAAGGAAGAGCTGAGGATGGTTGGTTTGATGTGACAACGAAGAAGGCCAAATGACAGACAGTTACCATTCCTCCTCTTCAATCTTCCTTCTTTCCTTCTTCTTATCGTATATTTTAATTTTTTTTTTTTTTTATTCCTCATCCATCCTATCTTATCCTTTTTAATTGATTTAAATTTAAATCAACAAAAAGACAGCTGTAATTTCCATAATTTTTAATTAATCAGACTGTGTTATTTTAAATGAATAGATAGGATATAAAATTAATGGAATTTTATTACCTCTACATTGTATAAAAATATCAAATGATTATAAAAAACGGAATGATATTATTTCCTGAATTTTTTTCCCCTAATTCAATATATGATTTCTAACAATTCTTATCGCTCCCTCAAATCTCTTCAAATTGAATTTTTTTTTTATTGTAAATAATTCAACGTTATAAATGGTGGTATTTTTTTTACCTATCAATAAATTTTGATAATCGTCTCCATCAATACTTCTCACAAAATTTTCTTTTAATTCATTCTTTCATTTGCATATTTTTGATAATTCAATTTCGTAATAATGAAGCATTATTACAAAGTATAAAATTTCACTAATTTGTACTAATAGCATAAAGTTTTAAATGATCATAAAGTGTAAAGAAGTTGAATGAATGCTAGAATAAAATAAAATTAGTCAAAATACACGGAAGAGATTTAATAAAAATAAAAATTAATTAAATTAAGTTAAATAAAAAACAAAGGCGAGATATTTTTTATAATATACGAAAACTAAATTGATAATGAAAATGTTATTTTAATTGAATAATGACAATCGAGAGAGGATAAGGAAAGCAACTAACAGCGTCAATGGAATATTGGATACAACCACAAATGATTAATAAAAAAAAACAGCTGGGTGGTAGCTAATGACGAGAGTACATGAAGTGTGGAGAGGTTAGCTAAATGGTTTTTCGATTATTCAAACATTACTCTTTTTTTTCGTGGCATTGGCAATACCCAAAAAGAAACATTCTATTTCAAATGTAAATAAAAAGAAGAGAAAATGAATCAGTCAAAAGTTAAATTTTAAATTTTTTTAGAACTTCTTAAATTCTTTAAAATTCTTTAAAACTTCTTAAATCATTTCTAAACTGAAATATTTCATTCTATCATGAAAGCTGCAAATAACATCTGGTCTCATTATTCATTTCCTCTTACTGAATAATCATGTAAAAATGATAATGTCAATAATTTATTCTCGAATATTTTGAAGATAGAAAAGATGCGAAATTCCTCCAATTATTAATTTCTAAAATTATCCTTAAACTTTATGTATACAAAAGCATCTAATTTAATAGCAATTTATCAATCTGAATAATAATTCAATTCAATAATTTAAATAGTAATTGAATAAAGAAGTTAAATTTGAAAAATAATTTGAACAAAATGAAATAAGAAAGAGAGAGAATTAGAATTAGAGTAAAATGGAGGAAATGTTAATATGAACAAATATGGATAGATTTGATTGTTTACTACTACCGTTAAAATCAACCATTGCTTATGCAAATATATATATGAGAGAGAAAGGGAGAGAGAGAGAGAGAGAGAGTAGTCAACATAGCCAATAATCGCCGTCCACCCGCCCGCCTGGCACTACTGAAACCAAATTTTACAAATCTTCGAAACTGTTGCAAAATTGAAATTTATACTCGCAATAGCTCTTCATTTATCATCTAATCATTCTAACAATTCACAAACTAAAATTATTGCTTCATTGTTCAATAAAACTTAAATAAAAATGAATGCAAGGATTACTATTCGAGAAAAGAAAAGAAAAAAGAAAAATGAGTTTGAAATTTTCTTAAAGAAAAAAAAATTTTTAGAATACTGTCAATCAGTCAGTCAAAAAAAAAACATAAAAAGGGGAACTGAAAGAATAGAAATGAAATGAATGAAAAGCTTTAAAAGTGAACTAATAATGAAAGGAATGATTTGTTGTTGGTTTTTCATTACAAATATCAGATGCAATCATTTTTCAAAAATCATTTATTATATTTCCTTCTAATATATTCTTTCCCTTCACTCCTCAGTGTAACAGCATATTCTTGGAAATAGATAAATTTGAAATTGAAATTGAAAGTTAAAAAAGTTTTTGCCACATTTTATCTAAAAAATTTTTTTACTTCAATTTGATTGATGAATGTATTATAAAATTTAATCGATAAGGAAAAATTCTGCACATATAAAATACTACATTTGAAATTTACAAGAAAACAATATTAATAATAATAAACGATGTTTTCAATCTCCAATAAACTAATTAATCAGGAGAGCAACAGCTCAATAAATAATGTGTGTTTTAAAAAAAAAGACTGTTTCAAAATGGGAATTTAAAATTTAAAAAAAATAAAGCAATGGAATGGAAAGAATGGAAATGCTTGGAGAGTTAATTTTGCTAATAAATGTTTCCAGACGTCTGATGATGAATCATTGAGAAGACAAATTCAGACAAGTGAAAGATATTTTAGAAATTTAATAAAGAGTTTGATTAGTTAGTAATGGTGCATGAATGTGTAATAAATGCAATATATCATTGATCTAATAAGAATTTAAAATAGATTAAAAAAATCCTTCCCTAACTAAAACAAGTGTGAAAATTCTTCATATGAAGATCATTAATATTAATTTTTTCATTTTCATTCTTTCTGAATTTTTATTTAATATTTAAAATTTGTATTTACAATTTGAGAAGGATTTTCAAAGAGAACAGACATCACATTGATTAGTTTTCAATTTCAATGTATTTATTAAATTTAGGCAAATGATTCCCAATTTAATTTTTAGAAATGAAGAAAAAAATTGAGAAAAAGCTTCAATTTTTTGTAAAAAAAATTTTCAAATAAATAATTTGGAACAAAATTTCCATCAATAATTTTTGTTAAAAAAAAGAGAAAAAGAAGCTTTCTTGACAGGTAATTGAATTGAAAAGAACTAAATGTATAGCATTATTGACACATTAGAATAGTTGCGCTTCTCATTACATTTGCGCGTATTTATGCCAATTGCGCCAACTAATTCTAATATAGTGCAACATTTAAGATTTTAAGACAAATAGGAGAGAAACGAAACGAAGTAAACATACAGTTCAATGTTATGAAATTGTAATTACTAATGTACTAATAAAAATTACTAATAATACTAATGCTAACTTATACTAAACACTAATTATTAATGTATCAGTACTAAATACCAATAATACTAACACATTTTTTAGTGCATTAAAATAAATAAATGAAAACATTGAACAAACCCTAAGAACGGCAGTGGTATTAACACTTGCAAAAGAATTGCTAACAACACACTGATAATATCCACTGTCCAGAACCTCTAAATCAGTGATGACCAAACGTGACCAATATTCACGATTCTTTATTTTCGTCTTACGATTTTTTTCCACCGGTGCATGATTTTTCAACCAGCTATAAAAAATTTTTAATGTTTGATAAGAAATAGAGGGAAAAAAAAATTCACATCGATTAAATTACATTATTTAGAGTAATTAAAAGAAGTATAATTTTCAACTTATGATATAATCAACATCACATATAGAGTTTGAAATTTTAAATTCCAAATATAAGAATTATATATTTTCAAAACTTAATACAATTATTATTTCATATATTTTTTTTTTGTTCTCAAATATTTCGGCATTATTATAACATCAACTAGAACAGCTATTTAAAAAATGCATTGACTTTTCCTTTAAAAAAAAATTTTTTTTTTTAAAACATAAACTAACCTAAATTGAAGTGGTAATGGATTACCAGCAGCTTCACATTTAAATCGTACTTCATCACCCGCATTTTTTGTGACATTGTTGAGAAATGATGTCAATCTAATATATGGTCGTCTAGAAGGCGATGAACCGTCCTCCATACTGCAAAAATAAAATGGATGATGTTCTCGAATTGATTCTCAATTATTCTTTAAGAACAGAACGATAACGATAAAAAGTGTTAAGATTATCAAGAAAAAAGGGAAAAAAAAGAGCAACTAAACTGGATGTTAAACATGTCTATTTTTGTAATTCAATATGAAAAAATTCAATATTTGCATTTTCCACGTATTCTTTTTTCATCATTTTAAATATCAGCTGACTTTATAATGTTTTTTTTTCCATTTCCTCTTCAAACATATTAATATTACACACCGGTAAGGAGTGAAGAAAATGAATTATATAATTACATTTTAACTAAATTATATTTGTTAGAATTTCATTTCATTATATATGTAATCTTTAACAATCCCAACTACAAAAAACGAATAGTTTTATAATCTTTTTAAAATATATT